CTCAGTTCACAAAATGCTTTAATAAATTAATATAAAGATGTAACGACTCAGTTCACAAAATGCTTTAATAAATTAATATAAAGATGTAACGACACAGTTCACAAAATGCTTTAATAAATTAATATAAAGATGTCGTAACGACACGGTTCACAAAATGCTTTAATAAATTAATATAAAGATGTTGTAACGACACAGTTCACAAAATGCTTTAATAAATTAATATAAAGATGTCGTAACGACACGGTTCACAAAATGCTTTAATAAATTGATATAAAGATGTCGTAACAACACAGTTAACAAAATGCTTTAATAAATTAATATAAAGATGTCGTAACGACACAGTTCACAAAATGCTTTAATAAATTAATATAAAGATGTCGTAACGACACAGTTCACAAAAGTTTAGAAATTGTCATCTAAAACAAATAGTACTAAATTTGTTACTGGTCAACAGTGTGTTGATTGTTTGTTTATCTCGTGATTTTTGTGTTTATTTTAATACCATGTCATACTAATCCTGTTTTGTTTTATGTAGGTTCCATTCCACTGGACCCACAGCTGGCCAAGTGTCTCGAGAAAGGAGAAAGCTTTGTGGATCATTTTGAGCAGTCTGTTACATCTCAAGCATTCTCAGCTGTAGCAGCACTTATTTTAAAAAACAAAACTGAAAAACTTAGATGATTTTGTTCTGCGTTATTACTAATATTTTAGGTTAAAATCAATCTCTTCAATAAACATTAAAACCAGTAATGAGAAACGTTTTTTTTTAAACTTTCTCTAGCGCTAAAAGTTTCTGACATTTGATATGTACAAGTAAATATGTGTTTACTTTCACACAAATGTTTATCATTTACAGTGAATGATTTTGATGATATATATATCCAAGATAAAATATATAAGGAAAAGCAGCAAAAAAAAAATCTAATTTCTTCCATTCTCTTCACAAAACACGCACCCCAGTGGCACAACGGTATATCTGCGGACTTACAATGCTAGAAACCGGGTTTCTATACCCGTGGTGGGCAGAGCACAGATAGCCCATTGTGTCTAACTTCAAACAAACAATCACAAAACATGCATGTAAGTATAGTACACAAAAATAAACTGTAAAAAAAAACACGTCATGAGCTAAGGAGCCCTAAATCTACAAATAAAGATGATCTGCACGTTCACAAGGTTGATCATATTAAAGTAATATTATTTAATGATTTTTATAACATATGGCCTAAAAGATTATAAAATCATTTAATTTTCTCATGTGCGTATGATTTAAAGTTTTCAAAGTTGAAATATCTTACAGGAATAGCGCCATCTAGCGAAACAAAAAGTAGGTGATTATAAGTATAATTTTTTAAAAGATATAATTACTTGAAGAAACACACAATGTTGTACACTTTCCACTAGTTTCTTGATTTGAAATTACCGAATTTAATTGTTCATACTTTTGTCATGAATTTTGTTAAAAGATAAAAGTGTGTATAAGTGCACTTGATTTACAAGATGTAACCACAATAGTACACTTGATTTACAAGATGTAACCACAATAGTGCACATGATTTACAAGATGTAACCACAATATTACTCGTGATTTACAAGATGTAACCACAATAGTGCACTTGATTTACAAGATGTAACCACAATAGTGCACTTGATTTACAAGATGTAACCACAATAGTGCACTTGATTTACAAGATGTAACCACAATAGTGCACATGATTTACAAGATGTAACCACAATAGTGCACATGATTTACAAGATGTAACCACAATAGTGCACATGATTTACAAGATGT